ACACACACACACACACACACACACACACACACACACACACGGAGTACCAACACAATTCTTCCTCTCTGTACTCCTATTGAGACCAACGCCTGAGTTTGAGTGGCATCTTTGCTCCGCCTGGCTGGACCTGTCTCTCCATCGAACAGACAGGCTCTGCCCTCCGGCGTCACACATATGCGCACGCACACACGCACACACACACACAGACACACAGAGAGAGAAAGAAAGAAAGAAAGGTAAAGAAGTGACTGAAAGAAACGGAGAACAAAAAACTGTGACAGTTTCATTTTTCTTTGTGCAACACGTGCATGCTCACGTGCGTGTTGCACACGTGCACTGCAATTGTGCACACTTGTCTTGGAGATAAATGTCACCGCTGTGAAAGAATAATGTAATTATACCGAGGGCTAGTGTGGCATTTATGCCTTGAATTGTGGGTAATGGACTAGAATAATTGGAACGCGCGAGTTCGTGGTTCCAGGTAGAAGATCACAACGGCTCAGACAGAACTTTACTGCACACATATATACACTCTACCTTTTGAGATCATTAGAATATAAATATGGAGCGCCTTACAGTGAGTGTCATATAACCACAACGTCCCGGGTTGTCATACCTCTCTCTCTCTCTCTCTCTCTCTCTCTCTCTCTCTCTCTCTCTTTCTCCCTGTTTCTATTGAATAAAGGCAAAAATAACCCAAAGAAATATTTTAACAAAAAACAATATTAGATATAAAAAATATCACAAAATATTAAGTGACAAAAGTCAATAAAGTAGACATGGATAGATATAAGTCTTCATCTGTTACAGAGAAATACTGGAGAGCTACCCGGAAGCTATTTATTATTCAACCAATTTGTCTCTAAGTACATTTGAGATTTACTACTACTTTTTTTTATTTTATCTTGCATTAGGTAGGATAATACGTCATAAATTTGACCTGATCTCGAGTACATGTCTTTGTCGATTAATCCTTTTCAGTAATTTGACTCACCTGACTGCAGATTTGGGTATGGATCCATACACTAGTGAGCTGAGTCCTCTATACAGTCCTTTAACACCGTGACCCTGAACCGTCTGTCTCACACAGTCACCTGGAGGAAGACACACACACACACACACATTACAAAATGCTCAAAATGACATTCAATGTTAAACATACTTTTTAAAGATATGTGTTTTTTTATGAATGTAGTGCACTAATCCCAGCCACCACAGCAATTGGTAAGTTTTCCCTATAGCATGATCAATGCAGTGCTACAGTGGTCTTCATTCATTAATCTCTTCGCTCTGTGCCATCAGTATGGAATGACTCTGATAAAGATTACACCAACATCTGTCCTCCAACTGTGGTTCATCAACAGGCTGTTTTCCCCAAAACTTGCTGCTTTTCTTTGAACTTGCGTCTGGAGATATCGGTCTAGAGTCATCAGTCGAGGTTCTGCTATCGAGCCAAATGCACAACTGAGCAGAAAAAGCAACAGCTGTCTTGAGCGCTCATTAGCAGGGTCTGTGGTCCTCAGAACTCCAGCCAACATTACAGTCACACATCCTGGCTGAGAGAGTGTGTGTCTCTGTGTGTGTATGTTTACCCTGGTACGCATGGATTGTGAGTGTGCATTGGTCTGTTCTAAGTCATATAAACAAGCACAGTGACAGCCTGCCAGAATCCCTTATGTACTAGAGATGATGGGTAATTAGATAATGAGCTCCTGAGGGAGGCACAGAGAGAGGATTAAGAACAGAATATACTTTAGGAAGGTAGGTAGGTGGAAAGGCAGTTAGGTAGGTAGGTAAATAGGTTGGAAGGTAGGAAGGCTGGTAGAAGGACGGTAGGTAGGTGGGTAGCTACTAGCGTGGGCGGTTGGGTAGGTAGGGAGGTAGGCAAGTATATAGGATGGAAGGTTGGTAGAAAGGAATGTAGGTAGGTAGGTGGTAAGGACAGTAAGAAGGTTAGTATGTAGGTGGGAAGTAAGTAAGGTATATAGGTTACCTACCTACATACCTTACTTCCTTCCTACCTTGCTTGTTTCCAGTCTTTGTGCTGGAAGTGTATTTCCCACAATGTTAAACTGCTCCTTTCAAATCTTCAATTGTCCTATTTTATTGGGATTTTATTGTGTTTTTAATGCAGTCTAGCTGCAAAGATGTTTTTGTTTCCTTTATTGCTGCTTATATCCATGCCTGTGGAAACAACTTATGTGGAAGATTTTGCTTAATGAATGTAATAAAATCAATCCCACATTCAGCTCTCTGTGTATTGGCTCATTCACATCCCGCTCACCTACTCCTCTGTATTTGGGTGGATTGGCCTTCTCATCCAGTTGTAGCTGGGTCTTGACGTACTCTGTGGGGAACGTGATGCAGATCTCTATGCCACCTGCAATGCCACCTGGAAAACACAGACAGTCAGAGCAGATGTTAACGGATATAAAGAAAAGGTGTAAATTAACCTGGAGCTGAGGAAGAAGAAGGTGGCTTCGCTGACATATTGCCTAAACTTAACGCACCGGCTGCGGCCTCAAACCGAGCCTGATCCAGAGTCCCGTCGCCCTCATGAATTTGCACGGAGGTGCCATCACGTCACGGATCATTACAGCAACTCCACAAATGGCCTCCCCCTCCATAAACATTAAAAGCATCGCGGCAGAGGGAGGAAGAGTAACGAGCTGAGCGGAGATAACTCAACCGCGGCTAAACTACATGGGCGACTGTGCTGTTTGAGAGAAGAAGAGAGGCGTTGTGTGAGAAAACGTTACCGCTTTTCAAATATCCTGTACTGTTTTTAGGCGTGCGATTGTAAAACCTTTGCAGAAACAAAAGAAAGAATGGAGCAAATAAACGAAGGTGTGAGTGAGACCGCTGGAGAGTTCAAGCTTGAGACGCGCCGCGTCGATGACTCGAATAGATGAGGACAAGTGTCCTCAAGCCAGGCCGACGCAGAGCACAGACGAGTCACGGGGGGGGGGGGACAGGGCTGACATTAATTAAATTATCCGCTCAGCCTGCAGGGAGGGGCTCCATTACCCAGACCAAGACCCTCCATTAACTCAATGACACTGAGTCACACACACACACACGAGTGGAGCTGCGCATGGTGAGATAAGCACACCGCGTGGTTACACAGAAACACGCAGACGGACGAAAATAAATGTATTATCTGAAACTATATTCTTCCATGTTGATCATGAGGAATTATTATATTATGCGTATTTGCTCCAAGTCAGGAAAGTGACTCGACACGAGAACACACCGAACCCGATGAATGGGAAGTCAGAAACGTTGCATATAAAAAAAGTCTAAATCTGTCTCTCAGAGAAGTGCTTTCAACAGGAAGTGGTCGTGTTTCTGGGAATCACATGTTTGCTTTTTTAAAGAAAAACTTGCGGTTGCTCAGAAGCTTTTATTTTCCTTTATGTAGAATATGTATGAGATTAAAGCATCCTTCAAACTATTCACATGGCAAAAAAATGAGTCTTGAAGGCAGAATTTGTTCGTGCTGGCGTCTTTTATTTTCATTTATTTTACTTTTTGTGTAATCTGGCTTCACATGCTGCCAACACGACCTTTCATGGGGCACCCATGAAGCAGAGCCTCCACTTTAGGATAAAAGCATATATTTAACCCTGGACATACGTTTCAGGACTACAGGAAGATGCATAACATCGAGAATTTCTTCCTGATGTGAGATTATAATCATTGCTACATCGGCCTTAAAAAAGCCTCTGACTCATCGGCTTCTCTTTATCTGCGTCTTCTCTCCTGAGAGTGGTCTATTTAATAAGGGAAATCAATAAGGGAAAATGACGTTTACTTAAGGCTGAACAATCATCTAATGCGGTCATTTATCTCCATATGATTGTATTATGGCAAAATTGAAATATTAAAATCATGTGATTCACATTTTCGACATGTAGATGAATGACACGTTAGCGTTTACATCTAAATGTGTCACGCCATGAGATTTGAAATACCTGAGTATAGCTATTTTCTGAAAATGATAGTGTATATATTTTGATCTATACCCAAACATTACACATTTATTTTATTCAGTGTGATGAAAGTGATTTTGCCACATGTGATTTTGACTATTTAAGTATTGGGAGAACGCTGATTAATGGCACAATAATAAACTTGCTTATCACTGATTATAGCTGGATTCAGACCAATTCATAAAAACTGAGCGCCACGAAGCTGAATCATGTGATTTCTCACACACACACGCACACACTTTAACCACCCAGCCAGTGAGCTGTAAGTAAATGTTGGCCGAGCCGTAACAGGAGTCACAACGCTGATCCGGGACCAGTGGGTCAGTGTTATCTTGTAGAAGAAGAAAACAATAAACCTCATCCATCTGTTTCCAGCCGAGACGACGGCCTGAACATGAAAAACCAACCAGCAGTCTCTCGGCAACTCACGTGCACACGATCAATCCTCATCGGGAGGAGAAGCGCTTTGTTTGTCTATTCGTCCATTTCGCAGCCCACAAAAAAAACACACGCACACATATTTCACACCCGCAAACTTACAGATGACACCCTAAACGACTCCCGCGCAGCTGCCAGACGTGGGCGACGCGAGCAAAACGACCATTAATCTTCATCTCCGCGAGCTCGCTCCCCTCTCCCGTTCTTCGTTTTTCTCCCAGCGTCCATCCCGCCCCAGCGTCCCCCCCCCCCCCCCCCCAGCAGCACTTCTCCACACCGTGTCATAAAATCAATCCATCCACATAGATCCTTGACACTTGCTATTACACGAGAAGAAAATGGAAACAGTGTCGGGGAGTGATATTCACAACCAGAGGCGGTGGAAAACAGAAACAAATCTGCTTCTCGTGAAACTTCGACGAGCTGAGCAGCAGTTTAATAAATCAGACACAGACTGCATGACTTTGTGTTCGGTTTTAAAAGGTAAAACACTGTGTTCGGACAATCAATCGATGCTTCAGACATGTGAAAAATCACACCGATGTGCGATTGTTGGACGTATCATCCCAGAGGCATTCATGTGCTGCTATAACAGCCTCCCATCAACAAACTCATTAAGGTTTATCATGCAGGCAGAAACCTAACTGAGTTTCCTGTGAAGATGGAAGTTTATTTTTGAAAAGACCGTATGCATGTAACCAGTGTAAATTGTGACAGGTGCTGCAGGTTTTTGTAAGAAAACGCACGAAAAATGGAGAGAAACTGTTCGTAGGACATCATACAACCGTTGTATGATGATGAGTTGAAGGGAGGCCCTCCAACAGAAATACACACATGTTAAAAGAAAAAACCCATAATATATTAAAATGGTGTCATTGCTATAAACACCCTCAAAAAGCAAACCCAAAATCAAGCCAAAAATCGACTGATCATTTCAGCTCCACATACTGAACACACTTTTTTAATTATTTTTTTTGCAGCACAGACAGGCGCAGAGGGAGCCAGGTGTGCAGCTGACAGGGAGGAACTGTCTCTGGAACCCTGTCCTGTCTGCTTCAGTGACTCTAATGAGCATCCAACACATCTGGTCCACTAAGAAACTTCCCTTCTCTCTGGAGGAGCCGACAATCCAGCACGGTCTCTGAATGTTGCAGCTCCTAAACGTATGTGAAGCCCCATTTCCTTCAAAATAAACCTTTTCTAGAGAATTAATATTACGATTCTTACAGAGGCAGGAAAACTCAATTAATAAGCAGTTTTCCAGCGGAATCTATCTATTATTCATCCAAATGTCCCTTTATTTAGATTATTATCACTTTAAATTCTCTGGAGTCCGCGGGGTTGGGGGGGGGGGGATGTTATTAAGTCCATGTCTCTAGTCCAACAGGAGAACATAGCCAGAGGACTGATGTACTTCAAACATGAGGTGTCCTATTAACATGGTCTGTAATATGCCCGTTTGCCTCGCGCAAAAAAACATGAAAAGAATTATTCATCCGACGTCTGGCCTTGTAGGCTTCCTCTGTCCCCAGCAACACTCCCTAATGCTACGCTGATGCTTAATTACGGGACGGATGCCGATTCATTTTGCATGGGCGCAGTTTCAACTGCAGCATGTTAAAACACAAATGTGCACGGGTTTGTTTTGACAGTGTGTACAGCTGTAGGCAGGGCTGCCGGGCTCTTTGCAGTGGAATGGGTTTCCATGTTTTACATTTAGATGAATTACATCTAGAGGTTTGCCCAACAGCCTGTATATTCAGTCTGCTAATAAATCTGATTTTGGATACAATTATTAGCTTCTGAAAACTTAATTTTGGTGCATTCAAAGAAGAAAATCTAACAATTTATGATAAAATGGTTATTTGTAACTAGTGAGATAAATAAGAAGTGGACGTAGTCACAGAGACGTCATCCATTGGTTTGTGGACTGCCGTTTTCATCAAATTTGGCTTTTTGGTGGTCGCCATCTTTGCTTTGACTGTGGACATTGTGGTTTTTGGCCATCGATATCTTGGTTTTGGCATGTCGCCATCTTGGTTTTTGTTATCAGAAGTGACAGAGGGTGGAGCTTACTACATCCGAACACTGGATAAGACATTTTAGGCGTAATTGTTACAATTAACTTTCATGATCTGAAAACACAGAAAGTTCTCAGACGAAAAACACAAACAACTCCCAGACCGGACAACGCCGTGGAAACATGTCAATCACAAGGTAGCCCCGCCCTAAAGCATACCCTGCTTTATGGTCAATTTACTCTAAATGGACCATAATTTACCAAATGAACATCATGCTGTGTTGAAGAAGACTTGAAACTAGAGATTGAGACCATAAACTCATGTTTACAATGTTTACTGAGGTAATAAATCAAGTGAGAAGTAGAGTCATTTTCTCATAGACTTCTATACAACCAGACTTCTTTTTGCAACCACAGGAGTCGCCCCCTGATCGCCAGTAGAAAGAATACAAGTTCAACGTACTTCTGCATTGGCTTCACTTTTAAGACCCGGAGGTTTCCGCCTGGATAAAACATGCAAAACCTGCGGTGCTGTAAAGAATCTCAAAGACATTCACAAACACAATGAAGAAAGCCGACAGTCATGTGGGCCTTTCTGCACTAATGTCTATTTGGTTGTGCCACCACATTCACTTGAATGGGGTTTCGGGCGTGAAGAGAGCAAAAACACTTAACTTTGGGCCCGTATTGACTAGCCATACATTAACATAGAAAAATGATTCAAAGTTTAAAACGTAGACAAAACGCTGGACTTTAATGAGCCAAATGGGCATTTTGATAGCTAGCACAGTTTTCATGAAGTCCCAGATTAAGTTTCAGGAAAATTTTGGGTCCGTTTCAGATTTTATAATGGTGTGTATTGCAAGGCTCGTTAAGAGCTAGAGTGATGACATCATGGTCAGAGTGGAGCAGAGCATGAAAAGTATTCTGTGATTTTTCCAAATAAATTGCTTCAGGTCCCACAATTTTTACTCTTTATACACCAGTTTTGGTCAAAAAGCTTGGAAATGTTGTGCTGGTCGCACGCATGTGTCTATGGAATCCAACGGACTTACACATTTGGCTCAAAGAGCCACAGAGCGACATGAACTCCAACCAACTGCTCCATTAGACTCCATGTTAAATCTGACCACTAATTTCTCAAAGAAAGCAGACAGTAACAGTTTTGTATTTTGCTCTGTAGCTCATATTTTTAACACCACAAACAGAAAAACCACATCGGCGCGTTCGGCAGAGTCTTATCTCTCTCATGGTACCAATATGTTGATTGGACTCTGTGATCAGCGGCTGCCGTCATCAGAAACAGACATCGCTTCACGTGACGCAACTGAGAAAAGGTCTTACTTCTCTTAAAGAATATGTACTAGTTTCCTCTCCCCTCGCATCTCTCCATGCATCCCTGGTTGGAGGGACTGAGACGCAAGGAAAGGTTGCAAGTGAAGGAAACGGGGATGCAATTAAGAGACTTGGGATGTACCCAGACACACACGCACACACACACACACACACATGACTTGGAGATATTCAGTTACATTATAATTCTGTCTCCTCTCCCCCTCTCTCACCCACCCAGCCCCACCCTTTCAAAATAAAAGCCCCACAGAGTGACTTCTAACTGGAATGCTTGTGATGAAGCCCGTCATTTAATAACCTGTATGTGTGTCAAACATTATGATTATGTCTCCTCTCCCCCTCTCTCACCCACCCAGTCCCATCCTTTCAAAAATAAAAGCCCCATGGAGTAACTGCATCTTAACACGAAGCTCAGAATGAGGTTTGTGTTAAGAAATGTTAAGTTTAAGTCTTTCCATCACAAATACAGAAATGTAATTTCCAAAGGTATCTCTGACCCGCCTGCGTCACCTGTGACGCGAGGGACCAGGGAGTAAGCGCATCGTTTGACGAGCCCTCTGAGCCCGAGAGGAGACAACCACTCAGAGAAACCTAACCGGCTGCCCCGAGGCCAGAGAGAGAGAGAGGCGGAGCGGGAAACGTGACATAAAAACAAGCCTGTCTCAGTGGAAAATTCAATCCATCATGAAATCAAGATAAAAAATAAAAGCAATGGACTTTTCTCTCTCTGTCCATCCCTCTGCTTCCCGGGCTCTGCTCAGAAGTGTTACAAGTGAACGCGAATTGCACAGCGTCCCGCGAATCAGGACCAGAGACTCCATTTAGACCGCTCTCTCGCTCCCTCAGGCCTCAGGCAGACAAAACCCTAACCCTCCTTCCGTGTCTCAACGCAGTGGCTGCCAAGAGAGGACTTGAAAACCAGCCAATGGGAGCAGAAAGAGCTCCCAGATCTCTAAAAGCTTTGGAAATGTGTGCAACGCCCCCCCCCCCTAACCACTCTCTCCGTCTATGCCGGCCTCGTAACCCATTACGCTTTGACCTTCTACTTCTTGCTTTGTCTACCCTGAGCCTTCGGGCTCACACTCTCTTTCTCCACACAAGACGTGCTGCTAAACCGTAACAGATGAACCCTGGAGTAGCATTAGCATGTCGGAGCACTGAGAGGGGTGTCAACTGGATTTATGAAACCGCCACAGCCGGGCGAGAGGAATTCGTATCTTGACGATGTGAGTTATCGGCTGTGGCTTTTGATGGACGACTAGAAAAAAAGACAGTCGCTGAGTCATGTTTTGAACATCAAACCACACACACACACACACACACACACACACACACGCACGCACTTCTAAAGAAAAACCTTTGAAAGACTGATAGATCAATGGCTTGCTGACGGCGAGGCCGGGAGGAGTCAGAGAGCGAACAGAGTTGTGAGACGGGGTGGACGAAACCGCGCTGCAGCCGCTGCAGAAAAGAAACTGGACTGACAGGATCGAGACGAGCTAAAGGACACAGGGAGCGACGCGCGGGGCCATATCCAGTCAATCAGGCTGCACGGGAATGAAGGGGGGAGGAGAAAGGTCTCACCGCCATTGCATTTACATTTCTCTCTGGCTGACAAGACGACACCAGTCAGGAGATTTATTTTTTTTGTTTTGTTTCTTTATCTCCTCGCTCCACAGAAATCATTCACTTGAACCGTTGTTTTGATGCTGTTGTAATCGTTACCGATACACTGTGCTGAGTCAGAGAAGAAGCGACTAACGAGCTCCAGAGCATGCCAGAGAGGGATCTTTATGCTGACTTTAAACAGGAGTGAATGACCCCATCATAAGAAAACATGAATTACATTAAAGCCATTTGGGCCTTCAGGGTTAGAAACAAGCAAAATCTCCTCACACAGGTAGTTTGTTTGTTTGTTTGTTTGTGTCTTCCAAACCATGTGATTGAATGAATGAATGAATCTAAATCTGAATTGGAAGGGGCAGTGTGAATGTATAGAAATGTAGAAACACCACAGCACGCACATGTAACGTTTGACACTCGGATTAACAGGGTTAATCATTTTTCAAACATTGGCTGGTTTTCACTTCTCGAATGTGAGGTTTCGATGCCTATCTTTGTGTTATATACGATAGTAAACTAAATATTTAGGGGTTTCTTTTAACCCCTGACCCAGTAAAACAAGCAGGTTGAAGTTGTTGCCGTGGGCTCTGGTAACTCATTTTGGGAAATTTTCACTATTTTAAGACGTTTTATAGCCAAAATGATTCATCGATTGATCAAAAAAAAATGTAAATCAGCACAATAAGTCCTTATTCCTAAGCGGCAACCCTGAAACAGTGACTCTTTCAATCTCCAATCAAAAGGAATTCATTGAGAATGATGAAATATTCAGCACGGAGCCGGTGCCAGAGAACAAGGCTGAAATCAACAGAGTGCTGCCAAATAGCAGCATGAAGCCTTAATACAGGGGCACCTCTGAGAGGCTCTTCATCAGCTGGAGCTGCTGCACCCTGATCATCAACACAGGAGGGGGGGGGGAGCAGCAGGAGAGAAAGAGTGGAGTTTCTGAACCCCAGCGGGGATAAACTGATGAATCACAGGAATGGCCCACAACAAGCATGACTGAAGTAGCGCTGAACCAATAAATCAACCAATTGATCTATTAATATGTCCCTACCGAACCTCTGCAGCTCACAGTGCAAACAAAAATTTGCATTAAATGCACGACGGACTTTAAATTCAATTTGAGATGTTTATTATTTAGATTGTTAGATATTTTTAACCCAACAAATTGATCAACAGCTATACTATTTAGGTTCAGCTGCAGAATGTAGCATTGAGATGATATAATGGATTCATATTTTCCAGCACTGTCACACTGTCAACCTTGACACAAGGTCCCTTTAGTAGCTGCTCAGGGACTCTTTCAACCACATCACATGATCTTCATCGGTCGATGGACCAGTCTTTAAAGTGCTCGGGGAAGAAAAAGACAAATAGAAACTTGAACATGACTGACTTGAAGTGATTGATCAACCAGGAGTAAAAAAACAAACATTAAAGGGCGTTGCATCCTCCACGCATCGAGTCACCTAAACCGCCGCGCGCATCAATCCACTCTAACATCATTATGTCAAGTGCTCGAGAGACGATCTTTATAGACTCACGTTGACGCAGCAAATGAGACCCGATCGTGAAAAGACAGCACTGTTCGGTAAGAACGGTGTCCTCTCAGGACCGGTTCACTTCTCAGCTTCAAGTGGGGTCACGAGGTTTGAGGGCAAGTGACAGAAGTTAGTTAACAAAATGTATCAAGTCTGTTAAAATACCTCCTTCCACATAATATCTGTTGAGTTATTGACCGTACTTGACGCTCTTCCCTCTAAAGGTGTGACTACAAGTTTCCATTAACTCCACGCTGTTTTAATGGGTTTGCTCTTCTGTTTTTTTTAAGTATTTATTAGGGTTGCATCGGAAACAAGCTCACACAAAGTAGCCTATTTAATCAAATTTAAAAACAGTTTATTCAACTGTAACTTCTTTGCAAACCACTAACATTTCGTACAACTTTCCGCGTGACAAGTGAAGATGGACTTACCTGCCAGAATCGCCTTTCCCGGGTGAGTTAGTTTCGTTTTCCCCGCTGGCGCCGCCGCCGCCAGACACCGCGGTCTGAAGAAAGGGCTGATAAATGTGCCTCTATCCTGCATAATTGCCTGGAAATGCACACTAAAATATACCACCAAAAAAAGCTTCTACTCTAATTATCTATATATTCAAGTAGCGTAAGTGGCTTGAAGTGGAGCGGAGCGCGCGACACATGCACAGCTGACGTCTGGTGCGCTCTCCTGGAGGATGCAGGTGACCTGGGTTGAGACTCCAGCGGAGCTCTCTCTCTGTTGACAGTGGGCGTACACTGGGACCGTCGAGGAAGTTGGGATGTTCTATAGGCTATGGCTGTTAGTTGTAACCATGGCAACGCCGTATCACGACGGTAGTGCGTAAGTAGAGCGAACCGGAAGCGAGGAGGGGCGGCACACGAGGAGTCGTCTCCGCGTGGAACTTGGCGGCTTTTCTCCAGGAATTTATTTGTTTTAATAAACTGCAGAGCCTGTTGTGCGACAATGGGTCGATGGTTGGTGACACTCTCTGGGTGCTTGCGCGAGAGTAGAGCGGCTACTTTTATTCCACAGTAGAAGAAGACGGAGATGATGAAGAAGAAGAAGGGCGGGGCTGCAGCCTGTCTGTATTACCATCTGAATGCAGCCCAGCGGGGAGAATAAAGTCCTGTTCCCGTTATTAAATCATTTTACGACCAAAACCTTCCGCACCCCCACCCCCAGCAGCTGGCGGTAATTGGTCCAAACATGCCAGCCACGCCCTCTCCAAACAAACAAGCAGCGGCTCCTAACACAAACAGAAACCATCAATCAGGCCTTGGCAGCTCGGTTACAATCGTGTCAGTCTGGGATTTAACAAGGAAATGGGAAAAAAAAAGGGTGCAACAGGGAGAAACCACGCTCACCTACCTCCAGAAACACAGACACAACAGAGGCCCCAGAGAGCGTGCACACATATCTCCCCTGACGTGAATGAAGTAGAAAAATACACTGCGTGTTAACTGTATGTTACTCTCTTGACTCGTGCAGAAAAAGTAAGTGCCGCGCTTTCGCTTTCCGCTTGGACACCGACCACGCACGCGGTGGGACAGGGCTCATCATCAGTGCATCACGCGCGGATCGACGGGAAGTAAACAAATTAACTGTCACCGGTTGGCGCAGCCTCGCCTCAACACTTTGCCATTTATTAACCAGCTGTTTTGGGGTTTTTTTGTGTGTTTTTTCATTTTCTTACAAAATCATTATGCTTTTTAAGACTACCACACGCACGCGCACATACACACACTATAGACAGTACATCCCATAATATTTGACTCCTTTGATTAGTTAGGTGTTTCTCAATATATCTTAAATTATACAGTTTTCAGTACAATATGATTTTTTTTGACCAACTGGCACCAGGATGTGAGCTAATGCCCCTCCATCTCAAGTCTGTCTGAGCTTCATCGCTGCTTCCTGTTATGAGCGTTTCAACGTTAGTAATAACTTGATATACTTGTGTAACATGAAAATTGTGCTCCTGGTTGCAGCAGTATAGTTTGGCAGCACATGCACAGACTACAGCATTTTTTATTATTATAATAGTTATTTCACCACTTTCTTTCTTTCTTTCTTTCTGTCACAAGCATCCTGAAACTCCAGATCCAAAAAAGTCAACCGATGAGATCGACCGCTCCGACTCAGCGGGAAAGAGTTTTTTTGCGGCTGCGAGGGGACGGACATTTCATTGAGTGTCTCTTGGTTTTGGTGATGTGTCCTTTCAAAGCCTTTTTAGAGGCTACACACGCACGCACATGCACACACATACAGTACCGTAACCTCATAAATAAGTGTTCTTAATTGGTACAGCAAACACTTTGTACCTGTTGTGAGAGGACAAACAAAAACTATTGCACAGTAACCGTCTTTCCAATCAGATCATGAGACAGTTGTGGAATTAAACATTAGAGTCCTTTTTGTTGTTTTTTGCCCCCTCCTCAAAAGTGTGTAAGGCCGTAGCAGTGCTTTTACAACTCCTCGGTAACAAAGTCTCTTCCTCATCAGTGCTGAATCTCTGGGAAAAAATAAAAATACCAAAAAGCTGCTCTATGATTAATAAAGTCTACATGGAACAGCAGGACAGAGAGGTTTGGCGTCACTAAGGTTGTCCTTGGGTTTTTATTAAATTCTCTAGGAGCTGAGAGGTGACTTCATGCTGTGTAGATCAGTAATGCAGCTGTAACATCCAAGTGGAAAAGAGGGAAAGTGGAAAGAGAGGGAGGGAGGGAGAGGGAGGGGCGGGGGTCCAACAGCCTTCCAGCCCTTCCGAAGTGCGCGTGGAGACAGTAGAGGCGAAGGGTTTCTATTGCAGTTTCAGTGGCGTCCTATTGGGAATGACGGCCCGGTTGAGTTTCAGGCGTCCACCCGGAGCACCACGGTCCAGTGTGGTTCAGGTCCAAGGTGTGTTGTGTGTGTGTGTGTGTGTGTGTGTGTGTGTGTGTGTGCTAGGAGGGAGAGAGGGGGTGGGCGAGGCAGGGAGGGGGCCGGGGCCTCTTACATGTTGAAGCCGTAAGCGGGCTGAGCCGGGAAGCCGGCAGGGGCGGCGGGGTAGCCATAGCCGGGGTACGCCGGCTGGGGAGCCACCGGAGCAGGAGAGGGGGGCAACATCAGCTGCTGGCCTGATCACACAAACACACAAGGTTACATGCTAATGGTGAACATTTACATTCATGTCAGTCTTTCACCAAAAACTTAACTCTTGTTCGTGCTGCTCAAAGAGACCGTTAATAGTGATGTAAAACCAATCTCTTTCAGGCAGCAGAGGTGTGTCCTGATTTTGGAAATGATCACAGTAGAAACGCCCCTACTGAATAACACAGTTGCTGCTGGTTTCATCACAAATAGTAATATTGTAAACTGTAAAAATAGATTTGAAAAATAAAATAAAATGAATGAAAGCAAAAAGGGAAATTGAGTGTTTTCTTTTTGGGGCGTACAAAAAAAATGAACACAACATTGTTTTGGTAAAATACACATTTTCTCTCTCTGCTTTTGAATAGCAATATTATTTTTTTCCAAATACTAACTGAGTGTGGCTAAAATTTCTTTATGTCCGACTACAACAAGTAGGGTTAGCTACCCCAGTCGTGTACTTATGTGTTTTCCACAGGTCTTTGGCAAAGTTATGACTTAGGCTTTTATTAAATTGGGCGGGTGTTAGTAGTCGTGAGTGGGCTGGAAACTGGAATCTGATCTGTCAACACTGAAGCTGAAGCTGCTCTTTGCCTTCATCCAATCTGTACATCGTTAGTTAATGTTGAATTTAAATACCAACAGCCATTTTCCACACAGCTCTCAACACAGCTGGAGGCCGGAACCACAACCGCCCGTCTCTCAGGGTGACGTGCTGCCTGAAAACTTACCAAACACTATCGGCGGAGGCTCCGTCACTTCGTCCTCTTCGGTTTTCCTTTGGCTGTCTGCCTCGTCCAGTTTGTCCACCTGAGGGCAACAGAGACAAGGGAACGCATCAGACGGGGGTCGCTTGCACACAATCATTGTAGGCATCCTGCGGAAAGCTCGTAACTCCCATGTGCTCGACTTTGCAGACGGTTAAAAAATTTAAATCCAAGATTTTAAATATTAATTTAAAA